GTGGGGTAAGACTTCTCATTTCAACGTTTCCAAGTATGTCTTGATCACTTTCGCAACATGAGGTCGAGCATTGTCATGCTGCAAAATCACTTTATCGTGTCTCTTGTTGTCGGCCGTTTCTGTCTTTCAATGCTCGACTCAAACGCATCAATTGCGTTCGATACCGATCACCTGTGATTGTTTCAGTCGGTTTTAACAGTTCATAATACACTACGCCGAGCTGGTTCCACCAAATACAGAGCATGACCTTGGACGTCAAAATCACCGTTCTTGAACCGTTGAAACCGCTCATGACACGTTCTTTCACTAATAGCGGCCTCATCATAAGTATTTTAGAGCATTCGATGAGCCTCAGCCGCAGATTTCTTCATATTGAAGCAAAAAATTAAAACCTCCCGTAAATGACGAGAATTTGGCTCGTAAACTGACATTTTCAATCGAGAATAACTTTATGATGCAGACACAAATCGACTAATGTTTCTATGGGGTTATGTTGACAGATGTCCAAGTTTATTGTATGACGTCTATGATCTATTTATTTCGACCATCACTTACCGCTAAAACCATCTGTAGGAAAACGGCGGAAGTTGTACACCTAATATTTACAAGAAGACAAAGAAGCTAACTCTTGGATTATGATGTTATGCTATTTATTTTTGTTGACCTATAGCATGCATTAGAATATGGAGGAATAATCCTATTACATCTTTAACTTGAAATTTTTATGTATATTTAATAATAGAAATAAAAGAAAGAATATATGAGTATATAATAAGAGACATAATTAATAATTAATAAATATTAAAATCATTAAAGTAGCGTACTTATATATTACAGCTATAATTGCTTAAAATGAAACCCAGTTATCATAAATATCCCTCCTACTGTTATCATAAATAAACAATGCATGCCGCGTAGACACTCAGAGTTCAAGAAAGACTCAGTTTAATTTCCAGTCGCGTGAAGATCGAGTTCGTCGAGGCGGAAGAACGATTGTTCATTAAGACGATGATACTGCAAAGCGTCCGTTTCCGGACGATACACCGGACAATTTGCTCATCACTGTAATCGCGACGCATTCGCGCGTTACTGTGTACTCAATAACGCTAACGAGATTGCCGTAGATTCACGCACGTTGTGTCTAAGCAAATTGGTGGGCAAATGTTTGGCGAGATCCGCCGACAAATCGGCCGCCAATTCAATTGCAACACACGTATGAAGCAATTCGAAGTTCCAGAAAATCAAATATCGACTGAACAACTCGATAAGAAATTTGTTCAGCACGATTTAATAAATAAATGGATTTAATCTTATATTTCCCTATTTTTAATTTTTGTTGTCATCCTAATCGTAAAAAGAATAATTTTTTCTCATATATTGTAAAAAAATTAATAATATGGTATTAATAATATTAATACTATGAAAGAAAATTTTTTTTCGATAAGTATTTTTTGATACCTAAGTTCCATGATTCAAATTATGATATCAGAAATAAACAGATAAAAATTTAAAAGCATAACGCTCGAAAATAGAATGATAAGAGTTTACAATCTCTTCAGAAAATTTGAAAATAATATCCAAAAATTTAATCAATCAAGAACTGAATTCTGAAAATATTAAAAAAAAAAGAATTATTTGTAAAATATTTGCGGTATTATAGTCGATCAAATGAGATTGCATTAAAAAAATATGTTTAAGGGTTGCGAATATTAAAATAATTTATTCTAATTGAAAATGATTGATCTAGTCTGATTGTAAACTAAGGACTGAAACTGAGATCGCACATACGAGCTGTTGAAATTGTAAGCACTGTGTGACTGAGGTCATACTGAATAGGATTTATGTGTCAAAGGGTTATACTGTTGTACGAAGGGACACGTAGGGCGTGACAATCGTATTTCCTGTAACCACAGATCAATAGAATTGCACGCGGCTGTGCTATACACATAATACTATAAAATACAGTTGCACCATTACATTCAATTATAAGCGAACATGATTAGAAGATTCAATTAGACGTAAAAAATTTCAAGAATATTAATAAAATAAAGGTTAAATAGCTAATTGATATTCTAAATAATTGGTTAATATTTGATAACATTGAATTCGATTAAACAAAGTTCGATAACAAACGAAAATTGAAAATGTGTATATTAAAAAAATGGCTAAGTAAAATAAATTAAGTTTTCAGTATATAAGGATATCATTCCTAAATTTATATGCATTCTTTTTTATGTATTCATTTTTTCAGCAATTAAATTTTTAAAATTTACTATTAAAAATGGCTTAGAATTTAAAATTAATAATTGAAGAATAAAAAATGTAGAAGAATTTACAATATATAAAAAATTCAATAAATGCTTTAATTCATAGCAATATCGCTAAAAAAAGCAATTATTTTTGAAAAAAATTTAATTATATTATTCTGTATAGTACTCAATTACTATAGATATATATATTATTTATAATTAATTAGCAATTGATGAATGCATTTATTTTCTTTTTAATTCATTGTTTAATTGTCATATGCATTTTCTTATGAAGACATTTATGCGAAAACCGACATCACATAGTACTACATATTAGCTACACAGCTGAGTATCCGCGCATTCCTGCGGTGCTAGTGACGTAACCGGATTATGTGGCATGCATAGGTGAATTAGCAGGCAAATGTTCGGTAAATTCGTTTGTTGGCCGATCGATATGTCGTGGTATCGGTATCCAGCAAATTCGATTGTCCAAATAGCGACCGGGATGCTTGATTCAGTGAGATACTGTGGATAATAGAACAATACTATAATTTTCTAATCGAGGAATTTTATATATAAATTCAATTAAAAATATCTTAAAAATTTTATAATAATTTACAGTAAGTTTAACTTAATTTTATAATTTTCTCTTTTTTTTAATTGAAACGTTAAGAAAGAGTACGACATCAAGTCAACATAGGTATTTTTATTAATAAAAATAAAAATTAATAAAAATCATAAGAGAATATAATGAGAAAAATATTGAAAAAACATTGGAAAAGGAAAAGTCACATATGCCACACTTCAAGAAACGTTTAAAAGTTAATAAAATTGCAATATAAAAAATTTAATTAAAAATTTATTAAATTTGTAAAAGTTTATAATTTCTATTTATTCCAATCAATTACATTATATTTTGCAACTTGTAATTTATTATATTTAAACTAAAAGTGTTTTATATTATTTAAATAACGTTTATCTTCAACTTTGCTTGAGAGTGAAACAACGTCACAAAGCACATTTTCGTAGCAGGTACGACAAATAGAAATGATCAGTAAGAAATGATCAGCAATGATCAAGCGCAGAAGCGTTTTAACGCGAGCACTGTTCAAAGTTACGATGAAGCTCACGTACTGCTTGAATGCGTTCTCTCGTTCGTACATCAAAAGTTCGACCCCAAAGATCCATTAAACTTTATCTCGCTACTTGACTCACCGATTCGCAAAGTTGGCTAAAGAAATTCCACCGAGGGTCTCTCACTTCTTTTTTTTCCGTCTCTTCTTTTCTTCGTTTTTAGCTCAGCACACCATGTAACACATGAGACTATTTTGCACCTACAGCACGTCCACTAGCGCACTATAAATCCTGAGAGTCCAACAAAGAGAATATAATTCCATATAACAACCGGTTTTAGATATTCGCGGCCAACTTTATTGGCAGATTCGCATTATAATTTTGATCCCGAATGCCGGGCGACTTGCTGAGATCTAGATAGATCGAGTGTCGCCACACCACATTACCGGTTTCGTGAAAGTGGATTACACACGTGGAAGTGAAATTACAACTGCCTCAAAAAGAGGAAGGTTTGTGACATTTAATGCATGCACAGGAGCACAGACAGACTCTTGACACGAATTTGAAAAATATTAGTGGGAGTTAATCATTTTAAAGCACGTAATTGCTTTAGACTGCTTTCTAATTTTATAATACTGTTTCTAAATAAAACGTTTTACAATTGGAAAGAAATATTTCCTTATTTTGATTTTTGTCGATTATTAAAAAAAATTCAACTTGTGTACAGCACTAGGTTTATTGCTAGGCGCCGTGTTGAATCGTTGCATATGTTATATCGAGTGACTGTAATATGCTAATAGAAATGTTTGATTCATGTTTCATATAGAAGCGCAAAGTAGGCGATTGAATTTCCAAACCTTGCATATACATGTATAATTTTTTTAGTAGCTGATTGAAATTAATAGCTACCTTCATTAAAATAGAGACAATTAAAATTTAATAGAATTGAAAAGTAAATTTATTTAAAACTTTAAAGATTGTAATATTGACATAATAATTTATTTTTTTTATAAAATACTGGGCAATTTATACGATTTACAACTAAAATTAAAATTCTGCAAAGCAGTTTAAATAATTATGAAAGAAATGCATATAATAAAATTTAATAGTGTTTTTTATGGTAATAGAATAATTGACTCCTACCTTTAAAAAAACCGCAAATTTAAAATTGCAAATCACAAATTAAATACTATTTAAATATTAGGTAAATAGTAAATACTGTACTTAACGTAGAACTTTCGCGACGATACATTTGATGAACATTTTATACCATGCGAGTGACGTTCTTAAAGGTGAACATTAAAACTGGTAGTGGAATGCAAATTAGAAACGGAATGCAATAGCAACAGCTTCAAGTACGCTTGTTATGAAACAAGTCAATTTATCGATCAAAAACCTCTCGTTAAATTCGTTGGCCTTATTTACGTAAAACAAACTCTATATGAAACTGCATCGCAATGTGCTCCAAATTCACACGATTATAATAATAATAATTATTATATATTATTAATAATATAATGTATTTGGTATAGAATAATGGAACATAGTGAAGCTCATGTTTTAATTATATCATCTAATTTTTAAAAAATTCGGAATTAAAGAAAGTATAAATACGTCTGTAAAACTATGAAATTTTAATGAATTTTACAAAATATATATTTTTCAAGCTGCTTAAATATGTCATTAGTCTCTAATATCTTTTACATATAT